CCAGGTCCTTGGGAGACCCGCATGGGAGAGCAGGAGGAAGCACCTGGCTCCTGGCTTCGGATCGGCGCAGCTCACTGGCCGCAACATGCTGGCCATAGCAGCCACTTGGGGGGTGAACCAATGGAAAAAGAAGACCTTTCTCTCTGTCTCTCTCACTGTCTAACTTGCCTGTCCAAAAAAAAAAAAAAAAAAAAAAAAAGAAGAAGAAATCGCCCTTCGTGGGCTGGGCAGTTGGTCCAGTGGTTAAGATGGCCGCTTTCTGTGTCAGAGTGCTTGGAGTGCACACTCAGCACTTGCACCTAACTCCAGATTCCTGCTAAACAAACTCTGGGAGGCAGAGGTGATGGCTCAAGAGACTGGTTCCTGCCACCACGGGGGGGTGGGGGTGGGGGGGTTGAGAATATAGAAATAAAATAGAAAAAAAAAAAAAGAAACGTGTAGGGTGAGGCTAAAATAGCACTGAAAGATAATAGCATTCAGTGCCTACATTAGGGATAAAGCAATGATCTCAACTGTCTCCTCCTGAAAGCAGAAAAAGAAGAGCAAGGGAAAAAAAATCTGAGCAGAAATTAAAAGAGAAAATAGAAATACAACAGGTAAATAAGTGAACAAAAAGCTAATTCTTTGAGATAATCAGCCAATTCAAGAAAAGAGAGGGGATGCAAATGGTCAGCACCAGTAATGAGAGGTGTTTACAGCTTCTTCCCTCCTTTCAGGGACATTGCATCCAAATGCAGCACACTGACCTCTGGATCCGGTCTGAATACAGCCATGGAACAAAGGCATCTTGAGACGATCGGGTCTGCATTATATTAAGGGATGTGTGGTGGTTCTGTACTTCTGCAAGCTCTAACAATGAAACGCTGGCATGTGCTCATCCACTGCAGATGAACACTGAAACTGCTATGAACACAGTGTCATGATGACTGGAATTCATCACTCACGTGAATAAACACAAAATACCTGCGGTTGTGGGGAACAGGCTGAAAACTGACAAAACTGGGAGGCTGGGACAGGGGAATGGAGGATCATTATTCTCTACTGCTGTGTATCCTTGGAACATCTATAATAGGCCAGCACCGCGGCTCACTAGGCTAATCCTCCGCCTTGCGGTGCCGGCACACCGGGTTCTAGTCCCGGTTGGGGCACCGGATTCTGTCCCGGTTGCCCCTCTTCCAGGCCAGCTCTCTGCTGTGGCCAGGGAGTGCAGTGGAGGATGGCCCAGGTGCTTGGGCCCTGCACCCCATGGGAGACCAGGAAAAGCACCTGGCTCCTGGCTCCTGCCATCGGATCAGCGCGGTGCGCTGGCCGCAGCGCACCGGCCGCGGCGGCCATTGGAGGGTGAACCAACGGCAAAGGAAGACCTTTCTCTCTGTCTCTCTCTCTCTCTCACTGTCCACTCTGCCTGTCAAAAAATAAAAAAAAATAAAAATAAAAAAAATAAAAAACATCTATAATAAACGCATTTAACAACATCAAAATACCCTGGTTTACCCTACATCTTTTAAAGAAGTTGAATTTGTAGTTACAGATCTTCCCACAAAAATCTAGACCCAGATGGCTTCACTGGGGAATTCAACCAAACAATTAAGGAAGAAGTCTTAAGAATTCTACAAAACCTTTTCTAGAAAACGAAAGAAGGAATACACCCCAAGTGAATCAACTCATAGCATGAGGCCAGCATTTCTCCCATGAACATAAACACAATTCTTGACTATGACGATGTGTACAGCCCCAGTGGTTCCAAATGAGAGTGGAGAGATTAGGGCAAAGGAAGGTTTTGAATGAGGGCATATTTAAAAATTTAAAAATGTTTTAGAACACTAGGATTATGGTGAAATGTGAATTTATAAAACACCACGTTTAACCACATCACGTTTTTGCTTAAGACTTCCCATTGCTGTTGGGATAAGCTGTTAATATAGGCTACAGAATCCCCTGCCTGGTCTGATTACTGCTTACTTTTGCCACCTGATCAACACCTCTTCACCCCTTACTCGACCCTCTCCATCCATTGTGGACTTCTTTCTAGTTCCACAAACTCCTCCAGAGGGCACTTACACACACTGTCCTCATGGCCTGGACGGCAATGCTCTGTATTGGTCACTCAGCAACTCTGCTCACCCTTCAGCTTCCGGCTGTCATCATATTCTCAGGGAAGCCTTCTTTGACCTTCCTAACCAGGTCAACCTTGTCTGGGTCCCGACAGCATTAAGAACCTCTGAGCACTGTGGTGTGTGACTGATTCATGCCCAGCGCATCATTACAGTATAAGGTCCAGGGAGTCTGGAATTGAGTCTGCTTCTGTTTCCTATTTTATTCCTAGTGGTTACCACAGTGTCTGGCACATTGAAAAAGGGAGAGGAAATGGAAGGGAAAAGAATACAGACCGACCATGGAGTCGCGGATGTAATTCAAGATGGAATGAGTTTTTATTTGCACAATATCTCCACTAGGTGGCAGCATTAACAGTTAAAACATCTGGGACAACTTTTTTTCAAAATGCTGTTTGGGCACTGAGAGCTGTGAGCATTCCCACTCTGTCACTGTTTTATTTATTCACCTCTATCATATCTTATAGATCTGGTTAACCCACTATTCACAATATCAGGCAGAACTATTTCTTTCCTGTAAAAAAAAAATCCAACAGAGACTTAAATAAGTTTGTTGAGTTGGTGGGTTTGCAAGTTACTTTTCACATGATAAGAAGTTTAAAAATAGACATTTAAAGGCAAGTGTGGCTGACCAAAGCGCTCCTTTAAAAGTCAGAGTCCTACAATCCCGTTCTACCAGACTTGCTGAGATGTTGCCGCATCCCCAGAGACAGAGACCCAAACCCTCCCAGAGACGTCTTTCTGTAAGTTCTCATCACCACTGATGCTCGTGGCCACTACACTGCAAGAAAAGCCAGGACATTCACTCGTGTAGTTTCCAGCCTTTTTTAAGAGAAAGGGGGACCGGGATGGGTACTGTGAGTCAACTCTGTATTTCTCAGTATATCCCCAGTGAGTTACCCCTCTGAGCACCAGGGAAAAGGTTCCCAGGAACAACCCGTACAATCAGGAGAGGCACGAGGAAGGACACAGCGCTACCTGTACAGACCCAAGAGAAACCGTTCAGTGAGACAGAAACAGCTCAGCTTGGAGAAGCCGCCTCTGCCTTTACCTGGCTGAACGCTATTAAAATTCAAACTCTCCAGCTTTCCAGTTCCCTATTTTTTTAACTGAGATGCAATTCACATATACCCTTTAAAGCATCCAGTTAAGTGGTTAGCAGTATATTACAGAGGCGTGCGATCAGCACCACTAATTTCAGAACATTTTCATTCCTCCTCCCTCCAAAAGAAACCAGCGACATGAGCACACTCCTCATTCCCCATTCCTCCCAGCCCCTGGCAACCTACCGTTATCAATGGCTGTCCCTATTGTGGCCATTTCAAATGAATGCGATTCTACAATAAGTGGCCTTTTGTGATGAGCTGCTCACTCGGGCTCTCAGGGCTCACCCGAGTTGCAGTGTTTCGCAGCATGCGTTCTTTTTTAGGGACTCGGCTGTGTGGACAGATCACATTTTGTTTCTGCATTCATCAGTGGACGGACCGTGACTGATGCTGCTACAAACATCCCTGTGCAGGTTTCTGCGTGGCCACACGTTTCCGCTCCTCCTGAATATCATCCTGAGGGTCCCCCTGGCTGGGTCATTTGATAAGCCTATGTTTAACGCATTAAGGAACTGCCTGTTTTCCGAAAGTGAACTGGATTGGTTTTCTCATTATTTTAAACACACTGAAACAGTTATACTAATTTAAAATAGTAGTTTGAAACTAAGGCTTACCCATCCTTAGGCTGGGCTGTTCACAGTGATGTATGTTGGTTTCTGCTTACGTGTACCTGGGGTAGGAGAAAATGAATTAAAGTGCTTTTTCTATTTGTTACTTATTTTAAATTTTGTTTGTGTATTTTAAATATACACACTGTACTCATAATTTATACATGTACATAATTGTAAAATTATGAAGTTAATGAATTGAGAAGCTCAAAAGTATTATTTTTAAAAATATTACAATATCTCCAAAAATTGGAGATATTGACCAGGAATTAATATTGAAGCTTGCATGGAAAGCCCAGGGGAGGGAACCTTTTTTCTGCCAAGGGCCATTTGGACATTCATATCATTCATGGGCCATACAAAATTAACAACTTAAAAATTAGCCTGTTATGAACCTGCTGAACTTCAGGTCCTGCTGGCAGCTGCCTTGCAGGGCCACACCAATGATTCTGCAGGGAACCCGCAGGTCGGACGTTCCCCACCCCTACTTTAGACCTTTTATAAATTCCTGGACTGAGCCTCTCGAATCCTTCAGTCTTTCTATCCTTGGCAAGGTGCTTCGTCCTGACTAGGCCAATCCTCCAAGTCCTCAGACAAAACTCTCAATGAATATACTCAAGAACAGAGAAGGCTTCTGGAGCCTTCTTTTCGTTTGCTTACACAGTTCCTGCTCACTCTTCAACCTCCGCCTGAACATCCCGACCCCCACATCCCAGTCACCTTGCCCACCTCCTCTGCCTGCGTCCCCATAAAAACTCCTGTTCGCTTCTATCTCAGCACTTGACATTGTTTTCTCCGCGCTGATGTCACCAGAGTGAGCGCACTATGGGTAGTATTCAGAGTTATTCCTCTTCCTGTCACTGGACCTGAGCAGGGCTTAATGAAGAGATTGTACAGGGAATCCTAATTAACAGTGAATGGCTTTTTAAAACAACACATTGTGCTTCCAGTAAGCCAGATGTGTAGCAACCACTAATAGCCAAGCTGTGAAATGGTGGTTCAGCAGATACAGAGGTGACAAATGAATATTCACTCTAGGCCAGTCACTGTGATGGCAGTTTAACATGTTAACTCATTTAAAACTAACAACTACCCTATTGGATCTGTATGTGCAGTTGTTAACCCCAATGTACACGTAAAGAAACTAAATCTTAAGCCATCTTCGTTACTTGCCTTAGGTCACACAGAAAGTTGAGCCCAAGAGTTGAATGAGCAGAACTTTTAAATTCCACGAAGGCAGAGCCCATGTCAGTCTTCTACCACTGCATGTTCAGGGCCTGAAGCATCTGAAGGGACTTCAAAAAACATGTAGAAAACGGAATTAAAAGATAAGCTGGTTTGGTGGAAAATATTTTGAAATCCACGCATACTTGTATATATTAGCAGTTCGAAAACTCTTGATCAAGTGAGTTAATTCAGCAAGCTCTACCAGTACCATCTGCCTATCCGGTCTATGGCAAGAAGGTGACGTCTCAATCCCCAGACGTTGCTCTCTGACTCATCTCCCCCACTGTTTCTTCTCCACATTCCCCGTTCACATGGGCTCAAGCCTCAAGTTGGCACGGTTAGCATTTTAGCTTGAGAGCAAGCTGTGGGCACGCAAGTGAGAAGAAACCCAGTATGTAAAAGAGGAGATCAAGGTAAACACAGGAAAACCACACTGGAAGACAGGAATGGCCAGAAATCGGCTGCTTTCTGAGGAGGGATCACACGATAGCTAACATTTCCTAGGGGGCTTACTGTGTATAAGACACTGCTTTTTAATCCTTACAGCAACCCCTATCTTTAATGCATCTCTCTCCACTTCCTCTGTTCCACACCATCTAAGACAATGGCCCGTTTTCTCAGCACTCAGACTTTTGTACTTCCTGTTCTCTTCAGCTACTACATGTTTTACCCCAACACCACCAATCAAAATCTTACCCAGGGGGCCAGTGCTGTGGCACAACAGGTCAATGCCCTGGCCTGAAACGCTGGGCATCCCATATGGGCGCCAGTTCGGGTACTGGCTGCTCCACTTCCGATCCGGCTCTCTGCTATGTCCTGGGAGAGCAGTAGAAGATGGCCCAAGTGCTTGGGCCCCTGCACCCACGTGGGAGACCTGGAAGAAGCTCTGGCTCCTGGCTTCAGATCAGCACAGCTCCAGTTGTGGCCAATTGGGGAGTGAACCAGTGGATGGAAGACCTCTTTCTCTCTCTCTGCCTCTTCTCTCTCTGTGTAACTCATTCAAATAAATAAATAAATCTTTAAGAAAAAATCTTACCCAGTTTCCAAGAGACATCTAAACAGTGCCTCCAGGAAGACACTCTCATGCAATTCTCAACTCTTCTTTCCCACCACTGCAGCCCTACGATACACTGTCACACATATGGCATTCATCTTATTGTAATCTTAAGTCTTTGAGCATTTGTGCAATTTCTGCTGGTAGTAATGAAATCCTCAGGGGCTGGAGCTTTATCTAATGGGTATTTGTATTTCCTGTGACTCCTATATAGTAGGCAGTTAACATTTGCTGGATAACACAAACAGCACCAACCCCGTCCTTATCTGCCGCTATTGCAAGAGAAAGACAAGCAGCTCTGCCCTAGTTCAGCTAGCCACATTTCAGATACACTCGGAATCCCAACACAGGCACACTTCTATATCTCCTTCATCAAGCAACACACCCAGATGGCTTCAAAACGCATCAAAACAGTTAATGAGTTAGCCAAATGGCAAACCATGGTGACGGCTGACAGCCATAAAATAAGGCAAGGTTCACAAGAATCTGCAGCATATCTCACATTCCGTATAGCAAATGTCCCTGATGTTGTTGGCCAGGGACGTTAGATGAATTGGGAGTCTCAAGCCTATAAAAGTGTAACATTTTAATCAGAATTTTAAAGATAGCTAGTAATCAGAAGTTACTGCACGAGCTTAGGGCTAAAAATGTATATTCTCTATGGTTTAACTCTTTTCCTACTACAATCAACTTAATACATAAAACATCTCCTCATACTCATTTAGGAATGCTAACAGAGGAATGAAGTTGATACAGCAGAGTGACTTTTGTCTCCTTCCCTCCTTGAGTCACAGTGAAAGGAGAAGCATGTGAATGCCTTATTTGGATTCCATAGTTTGGTCCTGTCAACTTTCTTTTCCAAATCCATCCACCTCCCAATGACAGCACCCTAACCCAGGACGTCATCACCTTGTGCCTATACAACCACAGAAGCCTCCTCACCCATCTCCCTATTTCCAACTTGGCCTTCCTCCAGGTGATTCCCATACTGTAGTTGGAATGACTTTGGAAACACTATCATGTCTTTCATTTGTGTACAACTCTTTTTTAAAACAGACATTTGAGACAGTTCAGAGATACCCTCATTTTGCAAATAAGGAAATTCAAGGCCAAATGAATAGTGAAACATGTACCGCAGGTCAGAACTGAAGTCAGAATTCATACTTCATGACTGCATATATGGGTCTCACTTCAATGAGACATGCTGCTTTTCCCAGGTGTGTAGCTCATTCTCAGTGTGATCAATGGAAGGCAAAGTAACTGATTTGAATTAGACTAGAGCCACTTTCAGGGCCATAAAATACTAAAATAGATCTCCAGGACAGGAAACAGGTAGACACTCAGTGGGAGCTGACACAGTGTTCACTCATCCCAGGATCCTTGTATCCTGGAACTACCTCCTCTAGCCAACTAGAGGACAGGACGGCATTCCAGATCCAGGACTACGTGATCCACGTGGGGAGCATAGGATTTCACTGGCTGGATGCGCAGGATCTGTGTCGTCCATGGTTTCCCGTGCACCTGCTGAAGAAGAGTGGCAATTCGAGTTTCTGTAGATTGTGCCCACCTCTGCCATTCCGGCTTGGTGGCTGGTGACAGCACTTTTCTCCCAGAATCCCTGGTAGCTCCATTTTCCTCTTGGTTGGTGATAATTTGCTGAGTGTAAGGGCAATGCTCTTTCTCCATTTCACTGCTTCCAGGAGGCTGGAGACGCTTCCCTGGGAAGGAGTCCACATTCTGGTGGATATGCAAAATGCCTCCAGCGTCCTGTCGTAGGACTCTGCAGGCAATGGGCCAGCCTTCTTCAGAGCTGGGAATCAGCCCCAGGTTCACCCTATCTGCAACGTTCGAAAGCTTCAGCACTCTGTTATCCCCAAAGTGTATCTGGCAGCGATCTGCCACTCCGTTGATCTCCAGGTTCTTTCTCAGAGCAGCCACAGCATGGGGGTTCCACTCACAGGCATGGACAAAGGCGGCGCCAGCATGAACGAGGAAGGGCAATGTAAAATAACCAATCCCTGCATAGAGATCCACCAACACTTCTCCAGCGCAGGACAGCGATGCCACGCGCAGCTTCTCCGTGATGTTTCCGAAAGAGAACATGCAGCGAGTCACGTCAAACTTATATCGGATACCATTGTCCACATGCTCTACCCAGCCATGGTCACCCAGCAGCAGGGTCACTGCAGGAGTCCGAGTGCCGTCGGGTAATACCCGCCCTCGTTTGGCCAAACGCTGGACGCCAAGCGCCGAGGCAACGGTGTCCCAGAGTTCTGGTTCTAGATTTCCCCACTGCTTGGCCTGAAAACATTCTTCACTCAGCAACAAGAGGTCGCCATGCCTTTGCCAGGATCGGGGCAAATCTGCCTCCAACTCCGCGGACCACGCCACTCCCCGGGCCTCCACCCACCGCCTCACCTGAAGGCACAGTCTCTGGGCAGGTGCACGACTCCGGGTCTTCTTTGAAGGAACAGGCTGCAGGAGTTGCGTCAGCACACAGGTGCTGCCTGGGGCCACGCGATCGGTCAGCTCCCGCAGGTGCTGCTCGGGGAGGGTCTCCCCCAGCACCGGGAGCGCCACGGTGCCATCCGGCATCTTTTCTACACGGTGCCGCCTATCCAAGAGCTTTTGTTTCTCGAGGTATTCCCTGTAGCGCTGGGTAAACCGAGGTTCAGTCGCGACGGCCACAACAGCCACGGGCTTCCCATCTTCTCTCGGCATGTTTCTAGCGTCTGTGTCCTCTCCGGTTCCCCAGGCGAGAACCTCTCTGTGCAGGGTCCAGTCACAACTCCCGCTATATCCACGCCTGGAGCAGTAAAAGCGGCGCCTAAGCCGCTAATACGAGACAGGAAGTGACGTCAACGAACAGGCCGGAACTGAATGTCTCGTCGCGATTGTTGACGAAAACGCCCTCGTTGCCATAGTGAAGCCGCTGTCGCCATTTTTATTGTGGTTGACCGACGCTTGTGTCAGCCTGTGAGGAAATGAGTAGCAAGGAGTTCTATGAGCTGACTACAAATTAGTCGGTGTCCTGTGGAAGCCTCTTACGTTCTATTTAATGCTAATCATGGCTCTAAAGAGAAAAGTCAACGTGAAATAGAATTTGGAGAAAGGCTTCCCGGAACCTAATGCTACTTTCCGGTCATCAGCTTATTTGCTCTAAGTGAAGCGTCAGAAGTAGCGCCCCCAGTTCCCCTTTCTTGAACAGAAGTGGCCCAGGAAACAAGTGGATGGGAGTCAGAGGGCCTAAGTTCAGGTAAATCATGCCACCTGGCAAAACTGGACTCTCCACCTGTGAAGTGGAAATTACCTTAGCTGTCTGCAGAGGATTGCTAGTCATTAGAGGGATCATCTGTAAAATGTTTTGACAATCAAGGGTAGAGACTCAAAGGGCATCTACTATAAACTAGAAAGCTGAATTGGTTAGAGGGCAAGGCTTTGATGTGGATGAATAGGACAAAGGAGAATTCCCTAGAGATACATTCAAATAATGAAATAAGGACAAACAAGCCCTATTCCTTTTACTGACCTCCTGCCATTCTCAGATAATTTTTTTTTTTCAGATCCCTCTGTTTGGGAAATACAAAGCTATGGCTAAAACTCTTGTTTCGCAACAGCTATTGAGTATCACTCAAGTTGTTAATGTTTTTCAGTTTCAACTAAGATCCCATGGAGACACATTGAGCAGGACTAGGATAAAAAACTGGGTTTCCTCCATACATCCTTGAGACTAACTATTCCCATGTAGGCTGACTTAATGGCTTCTAACCTCAAGTACCTAGGAATCTTTGCCGGGTGGTTTTCTCAGGCCACCACAACTGGCTTAGCGCACATGCAGATCAGGTTAGAAGTGCTGGGGGAATGACCAGTGGAAGCTGATGAATGTCTCAAGTTCCTCATACCTTAGTGGGAATGCTTTCAAGGTGCATTCATACTGCCTCTTAGAGTCCCCTCAGGATTTCAGTTTTTCTGTAATCATCTCCATGTCTTGCACTTTCAAGTTTTCCTCTTTCCTTCTTTCCCTCTGTCTCTTGGATCACTTCCATCAATATACAAACACGTTGCCATTTGCCTTCTTTAATAACCTCTCTCAATGCTTCATCTCTATGAATATTCCCGTGTTCTTATCTCCTACTCAGACTTCCACCCTGAAATCCCAAGTCCAGTATCATTTGTATCTTGATATCTCAACTTGGCATCTAGTAGACAATGCATACTTAGTATGTTTGAAACATATTTCTTTTTGCCACTATCTCCCATGTAACCAATGGCATCATGCTATCTACCATCCAACCATTTAGTCATTAACACAGTTTATAAATTATCTTTAATTGCCCACCCCACATTTTCCTCATCTCTCTAAAGCTGTTTGGTAGCTGCCAAGGATTTATATATCCTGAATACTGTAAAATTTAAGACAAATCTGCAAAAAGTTCAAGGAAAACCCATGTCATGAAAAACTCTCTTGAATTTCGAGTTTTTTGCACCCAAATGAGCTTATCATTTAGTTCCATTTTTCCACAAACTTTCTGAAGTCCTCTCATATACCAAGTTAGTCAACCTCTCTTGATTTCTTCCACCACCTTCTAAGCACATGAATTGTGCAGATATATCCTTATCAAACAGGATTTGTTTTCCAAAATATAATTTCTGATCATATCCTCCCTGCTGACAAATTCTTCCTTTCTAACCATTGTTAATGTAATAAGGTCATTCCCAGGCCTACCAGGCCAGGCATGATTTGGATCTTAAATCTCAGCCTGAGATGGAACTGTTCCCAGGATAAAGACACGCAGGGACACTTATCTCTTTTCACTTCCAAAAATAGGCCAAGGCTTTTCTCGTGCCTCTGTCTATACACTTGCTGTTTTCTTGGTTTGAAACACCCTTTTCCTAGATTATGCAATGGCTGGGAATTTGTCTTAAGGTCATCTACTTATAGGCCTCTATTAAACACTTTCTCTGAAAGTTTCATTCTCCTTAGTTTACTGTTGTGTCTATTTAATCCTCTGTTGATTTCTTCTTTATTCCTTATTTGTTGTTTGTTTATTCTTAAATGTCTCTCTCAGTAACAACAACAAGTAGTGTTCTTTCTCTGTCTACTGCTATATCCCCAGAATTTCAGTCATTGTCCAATATAGTAGTACTAAGAGAACGGCCACTTTGAACACCAAGAGACTTGTGCACTTTTGTAGCCATACAAGGAGCAATCCATATCCATGAGTGTAGAAATTATCAGAAGGTTAGAAAACGATTGATAAACTCAAATAGTCCATGCTATTTAAGTGAATGATGATAAATACTTCAGAGGAAATATTATACAGTTATCAGTATAATGGTCATAAAAGTTTTTGTTTTTTATTTGAGCAAGTGCTGAGAGAGAAAGAGAGACAGAGAGAGAGGGAGAGAGAAAGAGAACGAGCTCTCATCCACTAATTTACCACAAATGCCTGCAATGGCTGGAGCTGGGCTGGGCCAACACCAAGAACTCAATCTGGGTTACCCATGTGAGTGGCAGGGACCCAACTATCTGAATCATCACTGCGGCCTCCCAGGGTGCGCATTAGCAGGAAACAAATTGGGAACCAAACTTAGGTACTTTGATATGAGATGAGGGCATCCTAACCAACAGCTTAACCGTCAGGCCAAGTGCCCAGCCCTATACAAATTTTAATGACAGAGGAAGTTATATAGGCTACGCCTTAGATGGTGGCATACTATATATGTATGTATATAGCAAGTTTATTAGGGTATGCTCTAAAATGTGATTCAAGTGATTTTCTATATGTGAAGCAATTATAGATGATTCAAGTTTTCTATATTTTTCTCTAGTTACAAATTATATGTGATAACCAAATGTCATTTTTTTAAAGATTTATTGCAAAATCAGTGAAAGAAAGTGAGACACTCACACATACACATACACATATGCATACACATACACATACAAAGAGGGAGAGAGGGAGAGAGAGAATATGAATCTTCCATTCACTGGACCACAACCCAAATAGCCACAACAGCCAGGTCTTGGCCAGTTTGAAGCCAGAAACCAGAGAATTCCATCCTGGTCTTCCACGTTGGTAGCAGTGGCCCAAGCACTAGGGCCATCCTTTGCTGCCTTCCCAGGCATGTTAGCAGAAGTTGGATTGGAAGTGGAGCAGCTGGGGCTGGCGCTGTGGCTCAGCAGGTTAACACTCTGGACTGAAGCCCTGGCATCCCATATAGGTGCCGGTTTGAGACTTGGCTGCTCCACTTCCAATCCAGCTCTCTGCTATGGCCTGGGAAAGCAGTAGAAGATGGCCCAAGTCCTTGGGGCCCCTGCACCCACGTGGGAGACCCAGAAGAAGCTCCTGGCTCCTGGCTTCGGATTGGCACAACTTCGGCCGTTGCGGCCAATTGGGGAATGACCATCGGATGGAAGACCCTCTCTTTCTCTCTTCTCTCTGCCTCTCCTCTCTCTGTGTAACTCTGACTTTAAAATAAATAAATCTTAAAAAAGAAAAAGTGGAGCAGCCAATACTAGAACCAGCACTCTGACATAGGATGCCAGCATCGCAGGCACTGGCTTAATTCACTGTGCCACAAGGCTGGTTCCCAAAATGTTATTTTTAAATCTTTAGAAAATCTCTGATGCATTAAGGAAATTTTTTCTGGGTCCCATTCAAATGAAAACTCCCTTTAGTTTTCTATTTGTGGCAGGGGATGGGAGAAGTCATATGCAAAAGGTGTTCTTTCTCTAGGTTTCTTCCTCACCCAAAGCCAGTCTGGAACTTTGAATGATAATTAAAATATCATATATAGACTTTGACACAGGTTACACCTAGCTTTTTATCTGAGCCACAAAACTGGAGTATGTGACTTGAAAGCTAGATCAATGCTGCAGCATTGGAAATGGTTCTTTTAAAAAGTTGCAGATATGCAAAGAAGCTGCACTTGTAGGTGACCACCTTCACCCACCATCACTCAAGCATGTGAGCTTATCAGTACCATCATTTGAGCTCATTACAATTAGAATGATGCAGAAGCAGCCAGCAGGGACAACAATAAGATAGTAGACAAGCCAGGGGAACAATTATTTAGTAAAGGAGAGGTAGACTCGGGGAATTCATTGGAGAGGGGGAAGAGTGGTGGGCAAACTGTCGCATATTGTCTCTTCCAAAATGGCCAGAATGACTTTATTCTACAATAATCTCAGTCAGAGAAGCTCCAGCTGGAGATGTGTTTGTGTTCCCAGCCTCCTCTCAATGGGGTGCAAACATATTGAAGGGACCCAGCCCCCTCACAGGACAGGCTGTGTGCCTTCTTTAAGGGCTTTGCTTCCTGCAAACCATCAGAGTCCCTGTGGGAAGGAGGTTCTGAATTTGCCTGGGCTGGCTGTGCCCAAGGGCTCTCCACCCAGCCCCCTCCCCACCCCCCAATCCATCCCGAGAGGTCCTGGAGCCTGGAAATAGCGAGGAATAATTGTTCCCCACTTTTCTCTCCTCCTAACTTTCTTCACTTTGCTTTCTGTACCCAGCATGCCTTTCCCTTCCTCTGAGTGCCTCCTCCCTTGTTCCTTGGTTTTGGCACTCCTTCTGCACCTTTTGCCAACCTGCCCTGCCCCACTCAGTGCTAAGCTCATTAGAGCAGGGGAAATTGAACACAATGCAGTTCTTTCCTTCACAGAATGCAATTTGAAATTGTAGATACAGTCATACATAACTTCAGTGCCACAGATTCAGTGTTACTGAAGTTGCCATTAGGAGTGCTTTGTGGTAGAGGGCTGGTCTCCTAGCCGCCAGATCTGAAGGCAGGGAGCAGCCTTCACGGATTTCATCCATGGAGCAGGCACCGAAAGTTAGATTCTGTGAGTCAGGCAAACGGGGCCCAAAGAGCTTCCTTTGTGGATTCTATGCTGTTCTGACTAGCAGTGTACCACAGCAGTGCATGGTGTAAAATGCTTACTGATTATTTGGAAGATCATTAGTTGTATCAGACCATATGGGATTTGTTGTTGTTGCTGTTTCTGTTTACAAGTAAACTTCAATTCCAATGTGTACTCTGGGCATACTTTCTTTTTTAATTTCAAATTTCCAGTAGCCTGCTTTTTTTTTTTAATTTATTTGTTTATTTGAAAGTGAGAGTTACACAGAGAGAGGAGAGGCAGAGAGAGAGAGAGGTCTTCTATCCGATGGTTCACACCCCAATTGGCCGCAACTGCTGGAGCTGCACTGATCTGAAGCCAGGAGCCAGGAGCTTCTTCTGGGTCTCCCATGTGGGTGCAGGGGCCCAAGGACTTGGGCCATGTTCTCCTGCTTTCCCAGGCCATAGCAGAGAGCTGGATTGGAAGTGGAGCATCCAGGTCTCGAACCCAGCACCCTTATGGGATGCCGGCGCTTCAGGCCAGGGCATTAACCTGCTGCGCCATGGTGCCGGCCCCCAGTATCCTTCTTTTCCAACATTACAGCATCTACTACAGTTTTGCTCGCATCATGTTTTCCTATTTGACTCTATGAGCAATTGTGAAGTCAGAGTGTACATCTATTTGCATCACCACTGAATTCCTAAGGCCTCTATCAGGAAGTCAAACAGTTGTTTAATGAGAAACGATATACTTTGCCCTTGTGAAAGCCAAGTTTCCAGCTCTCAGAAACTATACTTTCAGTAATGCTAAGCCAATTTAAACATGTGAATAACAAATATGTTGCATTTTAAATAAGATTGTGCGAATTAGAGCTTTTCTCCCTTCTGATAATGTCTGCGGCCAGCCCATTTTTGTTTATGACAATGAAATTCTTCATATCAAATGAAAAAAAAAGCTTTGTGAGCATGGAGAAGAGACCAAATCCTCTTCTCTTGCATTTGTAGAACATCTCCGATTGCTTTTCCTCACCTCACCGAATGCTCCTTCCTAGAGGTATACAGTTCCCAGCTGTGTGGCCCAGATGCCTCAAACTCAGCACTTCCCGTGTTCAACTCAACCAGTGTTCTCCCCATTGCCATGTAGCTCAGAGATGCCCCTGCCCGTCTTCCAGTTGTTCATGTAAGATTTAGGACTTTAACTCATGCCCACCAGTTCATCTTCATTTTTAATAGACTTGACTTGATGCATAGTTCCCCACAGAACCCACTTCTGTGCAGTGACATCATCCTAAACCTGGTCTCTAAATTGTCCTTCAGATTTTTGAAACTTTATTTGAAAGGCAGAGAGACAGAGACAGAGATCTTTCATTCACTGGTTCACTCTCCGAATGGCCACAACAGCTAGGTTTGTGCCACGCTGAAGCCAGGAGCCAGGAACTCAGTGCAGTTCTCCCACATGGTTGGCAGGAACCCAAGCGCCCTAGTCATCAGCTGTTGCCTCCCAGGGAGTACATTGGCAGGAAACTGGATTGGAAGCAGAGGAGGGACTAGAACCCATACACCTGATAGGGGATGCTGATATCCCAAGCTGTATCTTGGCCACTATGCCAAATGCCCACCCACAATCTCTGAATTTTCTTAAAGCTTCCTGCATGGATCGCCTGCCTTGGTTTATTTCATTGGCAACATACTATTATTTGAATACGTTTATTTTATGCCAATGTACTTGTGGTGAAAACCAATGTAATCAAGAATTTTTTGCAGAAGCCTTACTTTATTATATTCCCAGAGTGTCACATTATAGTGCATACTCTGTCAAAATTAGATATGTCATTATTGTACATTGACTTTGAATAATGCATATTGTGGTACCTAGCACTTGTGGCTTTGTAATATCTAAATTTATGAAAACTTGAGAGAGAAAAGACAAATTTAATAAGATGTCTGTATGAAAGGTTCTCACCATAATTCATTACTAGATTTTTTTTTATTTGACATATAGAGTTAGACAGTGAGAGAGAGAGAGACAGAGAGGAAGGTCTTCCTTCCATTGGTTCACCCCCCAAATGGCCACCTTGGCCTGTGTGTTGTGCCGATCCGAAGCCAGGAGCCATGTGCTTCTTCCTGGTCTCCCACACCAGTGCAGGCACCCAAGTACTTGGTCCATCCTCCACTGCTTTCTCGGGCCACAGCAGAGAGCTGGACTGGAAGAGGAGCAACTGGGACTAGAACCCGGTGCTCATATGGGATGCCTGTGCCGCAGGCGGAGGATTAACCAAGAGAACCACAGTGCCAGCCCCTACTAGATGTTATTTTTTTAATCTTTATTTATTTATTTATTTATTTGAAAGTCAGAGTTACACAGAGAGAGAAGGAGAGGCAGAGAGAGAGAGAGAGAGAGAGAGTTCTTCCATCTGATGGTTCACTCCCCAAGAGGCCGCAATGGCCAGAGCTGAGCCGATCTGAAGCCAGGAGCTTCTTTTGAGTCTCCCACGCGGGTACAGGGCCCCAAGCACTTGGGCCTTCTTCCACTGTTTTCCCAGGCCATAGCAAAGAGCTGGATCAGAAGTGAAGTGGCCCATATGGATTCCCATATGCGATGCGATGCCAGCACTGCGGGTAGCAGTTTTACCTGCTACGCCACAGTGCCGCCCCCCTTTAAAATATTTATTTATTTGAAAGTTAGAGTTACACAGAGAGAGAAGGAGAGGCAGAGAGAGAGAGGCAGAGAGAGAGAGAGAGATGGTTTTATTGAATCTTTTTTATGTTCTAGAACAGCATCCCAGCATGAATTATTTTATATGGTATGCTTATACTTTTACACATGAGTCTGTGGTGTTTGAAATGTAAACAGAGGAATAAATATTCAACCCGTGAGCTATAACCAGAAGCATCTTGATTTTGTCCCTCTGCTCACTGGGGCAGTGTTTCCCTTGTCCATGCACAGAGTCAAGCTATCTGTATCTTTTCTTTTTTTCTAAGTATATTTATTTATTTACTTATTTATTTATGTTTGAAAAGTAGAGTGACAAAAAGAGAGATAGTTTCTTCAATGTGTTATTTCATTCCCCCAAACACCCACAACAGCCACGGTTGGGCCAGGATGAAGTCAGGAGCCAGGAACTTCACCTTGGTTGAGCCAGTCAACCCACCTGGATGACAGAGACCCAGGATACTTGACCCATTACCTGCTGTCTCCCAGGGTGTGCATTAGCAGGAACTTGGATCGGAAGCTGAGGTGGGACTTAATCCCAGGCACTCTGATAGGGGATGCCAGCCTTGCAAGTGGCAGTCTAACCCCCTGCACCACAATGCCAGCCCCTACGTGGCCTTCTTTTATTCTCTTACATTTAACATACTCACTTCTTTCACTGCAGCTCATATTCACGGCTGCTCTAACTGCTCAGACACCTGCCTAACAGCTTATCCTTCAGACCTCATGCCAAACAGAAGCTCCTCAGGACTGTTTCCTCTACGTCCACCCCTCTCCCCAACAAGCCATATATCTCCCTACCTAGGGGTCTCATAGCACAATCTTCTTCTCTTATAGTGCTTCCAAGTCATACTTCTAATATTTTTTTTGATTAATGGCTATCTTTCCCCAAGTGTGTAAATTCCACGGAGTAAGAGCTGCACTTCCCCTCATTGTTGTATTAGTGTGGACCTGCCACATATAATAGGTACCCATCGAATATTTGTACAAGGAGCACATGAATTAACAATGAATGAATGATGCCAGGAAAGAAAATCCGAGCATGGCCTGAAAGACTTGGTTCTAAAACACTGCCACTAGATGGCAGCAGCAACCAGCAGTAAGGTTGCTGAAGCCTCTAAGTACAGAGGTTTGAGTTTCAGATGCCAGGACTCACAGGGCATTTCTTCACTCATCTCTGTCAGTCCTCCCTTACTGATAATAGGGATAGTTCACGTGTGTGAGTGTGTTAGGCAGCAAATAATAGAAACTCCAAGAAACTCAACAGTGGATCAGAAGACACATTTTTCTTTTTTCTTGACCTTTATTCAGTGTCATTGTGACATATAACCCCACTAGTCCACTTACAGAATGGATTCAGACTTAGGAAGAGCAGCAAAAGTGAGACTTTACTAAGGATCTTGCAGGATCTGGTGGCTGGTGGGCCAGCACACCTAGTGTGGTTTCAACAAGCGATTTATTCCCTGTTATGCAGGTGCCTCCCCGGGTTCCTCATTAGCTGACTCTGGAGTTTTACAATCTTCCTGGCACTTGCTTCAGCTGTTTTGGCCACTCCTAACATCTGTTTGCCTATGAACTTTCCCGGTGCATATAACGTAGCTGTGATGCTAGCTAGCTACGTGTCACTTTTCACATGTCTGCAAGCAGTTAGGCTAGCCGCTTGTCTACTCAAAGCTTTGAAAGTGTTTACTGCTCGCATCATGATCAGACTATTACATTTAGAAATCAATAAACATGGGTGCAAAAAAACCCCACCAAACTACATTAAAAACTGTAGTTGGTTGGAACGCTTTATGCTTTCCACAGAAGAGAAACTAAAATAACCTGTTACACAGTTAGTCACAAATACAGCCCTCAAGGGTTTTCTTTCATTTTGTTTTGCCAAAAACATGAGTATTACCTAAAACATGTCTTTCTCTGTGGCAGCTAGGTTCTGCCACCACCATGTTTTGCTTAGTTCACAAATACATTGCAACTTGTAGCTTCTCTGTCACTTCTTTGGCTGTTCTCTTTTGCTAAGATTTGTTTCCTGGTGGTTATCAAAACCTTTTGTCACTGCCATAGCTTCTGCTGTGGAACTGCCATCGCCTCCTTGGTTTGTGGTATGGCCAAGTGTTGGTCTCTACCACCAACTGGACAGAGCTTCTGTTGTCAAAGTTGCCTCCTTTCATAGGTCCAAAATTTGAAGACTTAACTGCCGAAATCATGGTAGCTTTCTTTTTTTTAATTTTTAAAATTTTTTTGACAGGCAGAGTGGACAGTGAGAGAGAAAGAGACAGAAAGAAAGGTCTTCCTTTGCCAATGGTTCACCCTCCAATGGCCGCCGTGGCCAGTGCACTGCGGCTGGTGCACCGCACTGATCCAATGGCAGGAGCCAGGTACTTATCCTGGTCTCCCATGGGGTGCAGGACCCAAGGACTTGGGCCATCCTCCACTGCACTCCCTGGCCTGGAAGAAGGGCAACCGGGACAGAATCCGGCGCCCCGACTGGGACTAGAACCCAGTGTGCTGGCGCTGCAAGGCGGAGGATTAGCCTAGTGAGCCGCGGCGCTGGCCCACGGTAGCTTTCATTCCCTCCACAACTGCTTCTATCTTTACCATATCTGTTGTGGTCATCCCCACTGCCAGCATATCCACCACTACCAGGACTGCCACCAAAGCCACCATGACCACTGAAGTTTCCTCCAAAATCAAAGGATCGTTCCCACCAAAACCACTTCCACACCTGCCACCGAAGTATCCAGAACTACTCCGGCGTGCTTGGCTGGACGAAGGACTGGCCACCTCAGGCTCTGACAGAACTTTCCTGACCTCACAGTCGTGGCCGTTCACAGATGGCGTTTCTGAATGACGATCTTAGCCACAGAATCTTAGTGTCCAAGACGGTAAAAAACAAGCTCCTCTCTTTGCCACTGGCTTGGTAAGTCATGATTTCAGACACTTCAGTTTTCCCATGCTGTTTAAAATTATCTCTTAGGCATTCTTCAGTATCTTCTTTAATGTCACCAACAAAGATACTTTCTTTCTTTCTTTTTTCTTTTGAAGATTTATTTATTTGAAAGACAGAGAGGCAGAGGCAGAGAGAGAGAGAGAGAGGTCTTCCATCTGCTGATTCACTCCCCAATTGGCTGAAGCGGCTGGAGTTGTGCCAATCTGAAGCCAGGAACCAAGAACCAGAAGCTTCTTCTGGGTCTCTCATGTGGGTGCAGGAGCCCAAGGACTTGGGCTATCTTCCACTGCTTTCCCAGGCCATAGAGAGCTGGATCAGAAGTGGAACAGCTGGGTCTTGAACTGGTGCCTATATATGGGATGCCAGCACTGCAGGTGGCGGCTTTACCTGCTAGGCTACAGTGTAGGCCCCAACAAAGATACTTTCACAGTTAAGTGGATACCTGGTCTTTGGGAATTGTCACTTGAGAGAGCCCTCCTTGGCTCCACAGCCCTCCATCCTTACATTCATGGCAGTGTCCACCTCCCCCCAAGGGAAAGCCGCTGGAACACTTGAAGTTTGGATTCCCACTACCATACAGTCCATGAGTCCTCTCCATCAGTCAGAATGGAGAACACTCAGACTCTTGTCAGTCAAATCTCAGCTCTCTCGTGAAGAACTTCTTCAGCTGTCTGGGCTCTTTAGGAGACTGACTGACACATGACAGCAGTGAGAATAGACGCTTTCACAATGTCTTCCTTGGTGCAGTCCACAGACAAAATGGAGAAAGCTAAGCAGCATACCCAAGAGAGGTAGGTTCTCCTAACATAAAAAGAGGTTCAGGTTAGTGTGGATGCCCAGGGAAATCCTCAGTAAGCCAAGCTCCTCATAACCTCCCTGGGACCCTCTTACATGTGTCACTTCAAGATGGCCACTGTGCCTCTGAGGCTTCCTTGGCACCTGAGAACAGAAAGAAGCAGGAAGTGTCTGTCCCATGGACTTTGCCTACCACTGTGGGACAAAGCATGTTCTCATGGCAGTCCTGACTGCCGGGGAGGCTGGAAAATACATTGGTTTTAGTTTTTGGCCCTGTAACTGAGGAAACATAAAGAAGAGGGAGTGGACATTACTTGTTAAGTGGCCTGTCTCTAGGCTGTGACAAAGCACCTGGCTCTGGAGAGGGAGTTAGAGCAAAGATCATCATCTATAAAAGTTTTAATAATGTAGTTGAGCCAAGAAACAATTGAGCTGACTCTTGTTGCCTTCACCTTCACCCAGGAAGTCTTACATATGAGTATTTCTGAAAATTCTGATTCAGATTGAAGATCACTGACTACAGGAAGTCCTTTTTCTCCCTCATCTGTGTTTCTCTCTTTTTTAGGACAACTTACAAAAATAAGCTAATAAAGGTTTTAAATTATTTTAAATAGTGGAGCTGAGAAAAACAACATTTAGCAAGTTATTCACAGTGTACTAGGCACCAATTTCAATGCTTTATACCAAATTTCCAAAATTTCTGTGAAATATGTACTATTATTAGTCCTTTTTTTAAAAAAAGATTTATTTATTTATTTGAAAGGCAGAGTTAGAGAGATGGGGGAGAGAGAGAGAATGAATCAAGATCTTCCATCTGCTGGTTCACTGCTCAGATGGTTACAACAGCCAGCACTAGGCCAGGTCAAAGCCAGGAGCTAGGAACTTCTTCCAGGTCTCATAGTAACATTAGCAGGGAGCAAGATCAGAAGTGGAGCAACCAGGGCATGAACTGGTGCCCCTATGGGATACTGGCATCACAGGTGGCAGCTTAACCCACTATACTGCAATGCCAGCCCCTACTATTAGTCCTTTTACAAAATTGCTTTTAATTGTGGTAAAGATCACAAGATATAAAATTCATCTTCAACCATGTTTAAGTGAACAGTTTAGTAGTGTTAAGTATATTCATATTGTTGTGCAACAATCTCAAGATCTCCAGAATTTTTCATTTTGCAAAATTGAAATTCTGCACTCAGTATTTAGTGACTCCCCTTTTACTCCTTCTCTAAATCTTTAAACATTTCCTTTGGGAGTGTCACCAGCCTGGTAGCCCATTAACACTCTGGTAATGCAGACTCAGCACCTGATAATACAAGTGCCTTCGTTGTCCCTGGCATCTGTGACTCTATTTTGTGTTTCTGGGAGTTTCGCTACTGTGGATTCCTTCTAAGTAACTTACACAGTGTCTTTTTGTGACTGGCTTGTTTTGCTTGGCATAATGTTCTCAAGGTTCATCCATGTTGTGGCATAAGACAGTATTTCCTTCTTTTAAAGACTGAACAGTAATATTCATTGTATGTGTATAACATGTTTTTCTCCAGTGATGGATGTTAGTTTTGCTTCTACTTCTTGACTATGAAGAGTGCTGCAAGTAATGTGGACATCCAGTGAACCCTGTGTTAGAGAAAAGGACATTGAAGTCCCTGAGAGGCTGTCAGCCAGCTCGGAAGTAGTAGAGCCAGGAGTCACATCCAGATTGGCTGACTTCTAAGAGTCTTCATTTTTAACCACTACTGCTACTTTCAACACAATTTAGGAACGCAGGTTTCTAGGTGACTCCAAAATAATGCTGTGTATGGCCCCTATGGGTGAAGAAGGGAAAGATTAATTTTTCTTCCTCTGTATATTTTGGGCATGTCACAGCTTCGATTCCAATGTCTGCATGTATGTAAGGAAGTACAAAATATGTTATCACTAGAACTCTTTTCCACAATTTGTAAATAAAATGTATAGGTACATAGGTTTGGAAGCTCTTTGGATGTTGCTGGCTAATAGCCTGGGACAGTGAGTATAGTGGACTCAAGGCACAGATGCACTTGTATTACCAGATGTTGTGTTTGTATTACTGGGGGGAACCTTAATGGGCTACTAGGCTGGTGTCTCCCAGTGAAATCTTTAGAGGCTTCACACCTCCTCTGGCTGTGGTGAGATTCCTGTGAGCATTCTCCCCATCTTCCTGCTGCACACTGAATGCTTCTCACCTGCCTGGTCAATGCATTCACCCTAGGCTTTGGGAAACCATTGAGAAAAGATGACCTCTCTCAGCCCGGAGAGAAGGATGAGGGCACTCCTACTCCTTGTCTGCACCTAGACTTCCTTCACCTTTGAACTCAGCTCGAGCATCATCTCCTTTCTCCTTCCCCAATCATTCTCTCCCATCCCCTATCACACCCTCAAATCTAAAGGAAATCATGCCTCTTTCTTAGTGTGCCACTAAAATCTCTGTTCATTGCTCACAGATGGGGGCAGATGCCAAAGTACAGAGATGCATGTCAAGAATGAAGATCCATGGCTTTTGTTCTGCCTTGACCCCCACGGCAGTGCCCGGGTGATGAGGTGCACGATAAGTAACCATTCATCAATCCGTGACGTCTCAGATTTAAGGTCACCAGGTGGGTAACAATCTCACCGAACTGAATGATGGTGTAGCGGCACAGCTCACTCAAGGACCCACCAGCGATAGCATCAGCGAGTGAGTTTCTTCCTGTTGTTTGAGCATGCGCAGCCTGCTTTCCTGTTCTCAGCTTGCTTGCCCAGACCCCTTCCAAGTCCTGAGGTGGGATCCTTCACAATGTCTGCACAAGGTCACATTCTTTTGTAAGGTTTGCAAAAGTAAGATGCTGTAACCAAAGGTTGTTGAGTTCACCGTGTCGCTCCATTCCGTCTTCCCCTTTGGCATATTTCCCGTCAGGTAGGATGTCGCTGGAGTGATCCCAGGCATTATGGAGACCTAGTAGGTTGTGTTTGTATTATAAGATGAAAATGCATTTAATTTTGGCTTCATGGACTGCATCCACACGATTTCAGTCACTTCCATGTGTAGTTAAGTTCTTGCTAGCCATTCAGGTTTAGAATAACTTCCAGCAAGAGTCCCACTGCTCATTGCTGACTCTGGCATCTTGGCAAGAAAGGGCAGGATCAGATGATGTGCACATGTTCTAAGGTGCAGGGCACTGGAAGGATGTGAGTCATACAGGAGAAACCAGGTTGCTAAAGTACAGAGGTCAATAACTGGTGCACAGAAACTTCTTTAAAGCTTCAGACGAGTACAATTTCAGAAGGAAGATTCAGTTCTTGATAGTTGTTGGTTAAAATAGAAATACTCACCTGTCAATAATGCAGCATAGATAATTATAAACATACCATACATTTAAAAATTTTATGAGAAGACTGCTTAGAGGAAAATGACATCCATTGCAAATTCAACTCACTGTCAGAGTCTTCTAATTCAAAACCCACAGCACCCATTCAGCCACCTGGATGGAACATCAAAGCCTTAGAATCTCACTGCAGGCCTATCTTGTAGAGTCCACATCTTACTGAATAAACTATACATTGTCCGACCTCAGGGGTGTCCAACTTTTATCAGTTAGATCTCATATTGATAGAACAGGGGAAATGCACAAACAAATATCTCGTAGTGAGAAACTTGCTTTAGAACAAGACCATACAACCAAGTAATAGCAAGGACAATAGCAAAAGGAAGGACGACCTGGCTATCGGATGCTTAGAATTCAGTTTACCAGAATTTTTGTGTTTGTAAGCCATAAACTAGCAACAGTACTAAAAATGGCAATATGTCTGTCGTGACATTGCATTTTTTATGCATCCAACCATTGATAATGAAAAACAAACTTCTGCCAACCATGTTAGAGGAAAGACTGAATCATATTTCTGCTCCCTCTGTGGAAAATGATACTTAAAATAATTGTTGTCATATGTGCAAAGGATCATTGACTGTGAAGCTAAAAATTAAGAAAAAAAATCACATTGAAAAAGTATTTTCACTGGGGCCTGGTGCTGTGGCATAGCAGGTAAGGCCACCACCTGCAGTGTCGGTATCCCATATTGGCACCGGTTCAAGTCCTGGCTGCTCTTCTTCCTATCTAGCTCTCTGCTATGGCCTGGAAAAGCAGTGGAAGATGGTCCTTAAGCCCCTGCACTCATGTGGGAGACCCAGAAGAAGCTCCTGGCTCCTGCCTTTGGGTCAGCTCAGCTCCGGTCATTGCGACCATTTGGGAAGTGAACCAGTGGATGGAAGACCTCTCTCTGTAACTGCTTTCAAATAAATAAATATTTTTTAAAAAAGTATTTTCACATATAATAATGGTATTGTTTTTCTGAATTTTGAAATATTTGTGAAATTTATAAGTCTCTTAAAATTAACAATACTCATATATTAGAATTTATTTTCTTATTCTTTTTAAAAAGAGATAGTGCATTCTTTTTTTGAGTTTCATTTTTATTTATTTTGAAAGAGTTATGGGGAGAGGAGACAAAGACAGAGACAGAAAGAGACAGAGATAGAGAAAGATCTTCCATCCTCTGGTTCACTCTCCAAATGGCCGCATTAGCCGAGGCTGGGCCAGGCTGAAGCTGGAGCCCAAGCTTCTTCCAGGTCTCCCACATGGGTGCAGGGCCCCAAGTACTTGGGCAATTTTCTGCTGCTTTCCCAGACACATTAGTAGGGAGTTGGATTGGAAATAGAGCAGCTGGACTCGACCCAGCTCCCATATGGGATGCCAGCATCAGCTTTACCCACCAAGCCACAGTGTCAGCCCTTATTTTCTTAGGCTTAAGTAAACATTCATTTTGGTTCTAATTTTGCATTTTTAACTTTTCGTTCTTTTCTTAAAGGGGGCCAGGGGCCACAGATTTTAAGTCCCAAATCCCACAGAGCCTGGCTGTTCAGAGAATTCCCTGGCGGGTCTTATTTACCTGATTTCTCTTCTCCTTCAACTCCAGGCCCCCACTGCAATGCACTATCAGGTACAGGCCACAGGTAGAGTTTGCCCCTGGATACCTATCCACTCCATTTGGATAGAGATAATAAATAATAAAGTAGTAATTGCTTTATTTTCTGTGATTGAACTTAATATTTCACCTCAGCACACCCTTCCTCCAAGCTGATATAAAAGTGACCTCCTTCCTGGCTTTCGCCCACTGAGGGTTGGGCTTTGGATCGAAGGCAGCTCCCCTCACCACTGCACCCCCGATGCCAGCACTGGGCCATGATTTGAGACCCTCCTGATACCTGGGATTCTGCCACGATATGAAGATTGTGATGATGACAGAGTGGAGGGATGAGGGTCCTTTCCAGCTGTGAATCCCATTGTCTGTGTCTGGGAGCTTCCTGGGCTTCCCTACCACACATGGGACAGGGACCTTTTGAGGAGTCGCCCTGATTTCCCATCTTGCCAAGCCCAGGGCTATTCTGAGATGTCAGATCTGCTTCATTCTTCACTCCAGAATGACCGACCTCCCTCCTGTCTCCTTTCTCCTGTCTCAAATCTCCATCCAAGCAGAATGCGTCTCTCTTGCTTTTGTCCCAGGCTTCTTGCCAAATCTTTTAAGTTGTGCCTGTGATTCCTCCTTGACCTTGAAGGGCAGGTTTCTTTTTTTTGGGGGGAGATGCTTTCAGGAAGATGGGGAGACAATTTAGCTCTTTCCTGTTACTTCCCTCTTGGGGCGATGAGTGGTAGGCAAACCAGAAACTTGAATTGGGGAATAAAGGAAAAACTGGGAGAACATACCATGTGTATCCATATTTCAAAATATGTTTCTCAGGCCCTGTTCTATGAAAACCTTACAAATTCCACTTAATTTGCATGGCAGCCTTGTGGATTGCCCCATTGACAATGGCACTAAGGCCTAAAGAGACCCTGTAGCTCATGCAAGATCACACAGCTCTTGTGTGGATCTGTCCCGGCCCCATGGGCATTCTCACATGCCCGAGGCTGAGGATCTGTATTGTGAGAACAGGTTTCAGGGCTTAGGGAGGTGGCATCTAGGGCAAATCTGGTGTCAGGGAAAGACAGCTCGATTGTGGACATACCAGCTCTTCCAGTGAATACAGTGTGACCCTGGGCTTATCACTTAAATAATCTGGGCCTCAATTTCTAGATGAGTAAATAAACAGTGAGGAGCTGGATTCTCTGGGCCCCAGTCTCCTTAGAAGAAAATTAATAATGTAGACCTGGATGGCTTCAAATGCCCTTTCTACTCTGGAGGTTCTGTGGTTTCCAACCATCTTCTAAATTGCAGTCGCCAAAGCAATTTCCTTCAGTCACACACAGACACACACACACACACACACACACGCATACACACACACTTAATCTTAGCATCAGAATGATCTGGGGGAGCAGGTTTGAAAGGTAAGACCCTAGAATCACTCAAGATTAGGCAAATTTGTATCTAAATAGCTGAGGGTAGGACCCAATGATCTCTGTTTAACTAATTCCTTCTTAGGCAACCTAAAATTTACCTTACGCTATTGAAGGCTCTAGAGAAGTTAAAGAGAAACAAATAAGAGCAGGTAACTGGTGTGCAAGACGGCCCGGAGGCTGCTGTTGTGGAGGTGGTGAACAGACTGGTCTCACAGAGAGAAAAACCCCAGTGGACAGATGCAGAAGATGGATTTTGGAAAACGGATGGGCCAAACCCTGAGAGAGCACATACTTTTCAGTTTGTGTCCATTAGATTAAAATGCACTTATCCTGGCAATGACAAAGAAACAGCAGTGCATTCTAAGCAAATCTCTAGACTCTAAGGTTTTTTCTTGGCAGTAATATGAACATATTTTATCCCAGCCATTTAGGAAAATAGTAAGCAGAAATTTTTCTCTTTTGCAATTGAATTTTCACTGAGTATATTTTAGTATGACTGTTCCACAAGGCTAGACTTTTTAAAAATTCTATCTATTTAGAGAGAGAGAGAGAGAGAGAGAGATTTTTTTTTAACTTTTATTTAATGAATATAAATTTCCAAAGTACAGCTTATGGATTACAGTGGCTTCCCCCGCCCCCATAACTTCCCTCCCACCCGCAACCCTCCCCTTTCCCTCTCCCTCCCCCCTTCCATTCACATCAAGATTCATTTTCAATTCTCTTTATATACAGAAAATCAGTTTAGCATATATTAAGTAAAGATTTCAACAGTTTGCACCCACATAGAAACACAAAGTGAAAAATACTGTTTGAGTACTAGTTATAGCATAAAATCACAATGTACAGCACATTAAGGACAGAGATCCTACATGAGGAGTAAGTGCACAGTGACTCCTGTTGTTGACTTAACAAGAGAGAGAGAAGATTGATTTCCCACTTATTGGGTTCACTCCCCAAATGCCAGTAACAGCCAGCACTGGGCCAGGCTGAAACCAGGAACCAAGAACTCAATCTGGACCTCCCACATGGTTGGCAGGGATCCAACTACTTGTTCCCTCACCTGCCCCCTCCCGGGGTGCTCATTAGTAGGAAGCTGAAATAAGGAGCAGAGCTAAGACTCAAACCCGGGCACTCTGGTGTGGGGTGCAGGTACCCCAAGCAGTGTCATCCTCTGTGCCACGTGCCTACCACAAAAGACCAGATTAATTAAGCATCACAGTTCATTCCTTCCAGATTCTAGAATAATGGCCAAAAGTGGAGGGACTTCCTGAGTCTGAACCCCACCTGTGCCAGCTATTCTGTGATGGCACCTGTGTCACATCAACCTTGGGGAGGTCACTCAGCCTCTCCTCACTATTTTCGCACCCGTACAGTGATGGTTATATCGTGAGCCCTAAACACAGAAGGTTGCTGTGAGCCTTAAATAAAGGTTTGAGCATGACTCTTAGTAGATGCTATTTTCTGCTATCATTTCCTCATGGAGAAGCCTGGCTTATATATAGCTCTCTCTCCAGAAATAGCCCCCCTTGAATTTTGCCTTAATCATGTTTCTCCTGCACATAGAGGGGCCTGCAGCTTTCCCTCTCCTTCTTCTGTGAAATATGAAAGATGCCAAGCTGAGCGTGAGCTGTAGGGGGAAGGGAAACTGAGGAGAAAAAGTTAGGTGAGTCAAACAGCCATGACTCCCCGAGTGAGTCTGTATCCTTTCTTTGCCACATCTGGATGGACGGGCACCATGGCACATGGTCTTGACACCAGACACACCTGAGTGAATTCAGACCTGCAATACTGAACACCAAGCTCTGTGTCAGGCAATGGTGATGCAGAGATGTGCAAGGCAGTCATGGACATGGGTTCCATTTCTTCTTCATTACTTTCTGTTTTATTAGCCGGAACAAGTCACTTATGCTCTCTATGTTCAGTTTTATCTTTATACTGCTGATAAAAATTGCACCTACCATAGCAGAGTTAAAGAAGATACTGTATATGAAGCATGGAGAGACACAGAAAGAGAGATCCTCCATCCACTAGTTCACTTCCCAAATGGCCACATTTGGTTGGGCCAGGCAGAAGCCAGGAGTTTGGAACTCCCTCCAAGTCTCCCATATAGGTGACAGAGGCATAAGTGCGTGCACCGTCATCTGCTGCCTTCCTAGGTGCACTAGCAGGGAGATGGATTGGAAGAGAGCAGCCAGGACTTGCACCAGCACTCCAGTACGGGGTATCAGTGCTGCAAGTAGCATCTTAACCACTGAGCCACACTGCAGGCCCTTCCTCCCTCCCTCCCTCCCTCCTTCCTCCCCTATCTTCCTGCCTCCCTCTCTTCCTCCCTCTGTCCTTTTATTTGTTATCAAATTTCATATATTTCATATATACAGATTTAGGAACGTAGTGGGATTTCTCCCTTCCTCCCGCCCCCTCCCCCGCCAACCCCTCCTCGCCCTCCCTCTCAGAGTCCCACTCAACCTTTACTATGATCTGTTTTCAGCATACTTAATGATCATATAGTTTCTTTTTAACAAGGGAAATACACAAGCCTTAAACTCTCCATGCTTCTGTGATGGTTTAAACAATTGTTTAACCAATGGGAGCATAGCAACCAACATCTAAATACAGTTTATTTTTATTAAATCCCCCCTAGGAGCCTTTCCCAGATTTTTATCTACTTAACATGTGCAAAGAGACACTTTGTTCCTAACCATTAATAGACAATTTATGCAAACTACTGAGCCTTAAGGGCATGCTAACCACCTAAACTTTCTCCTCTGTCTCTCAGAGGAGGCGAACCTTTGGTGCTGGGCTCCTACCCTAGGAAGCTACAACCCACTTGGTCGCAGTCTTTTATACCTTCACAGGGCAGGTAGAAAACTTAGCAGTCCCTGGATCCCACCTTATTTTCCTGCTGGAATGTTGAGCCTTTTCCCAGTCCTACTTTGTTGTTGCTGCATTGTTCTGTACATTTATAGGATGCTTCAGCTATAATTGATATCGGTTTCATGACCACATCCAAAATGTTTAGTTCCCAGGTTACATTTTATTTATTATACATGCCTTGCTACAACTTGTGTGGTTTTATCCTTTGAGGTTCCCTTGGCAAATAAAATTGTTATAATTTATATGAATTGTATAATATGTATCAATCGAAAAAAATACTTTTGAGAGTTTTGTGTATCTGTGTAAACAGACACAGGGAGTTGAATAGTGCTGGAATCCCAGAATTCGACCCTGTTTGGAAGTAAGGTCTTTGCGGTGTTATTAGTTGAGATGAGGTCATGCTGGATTAGGGTGGGCACTGAATCTGATGACTGGTGTTCTCAGGAGAAGAAAAGGGGTGGCACAAAGATACACACGAGAGAGGTCCATGTGGCGATGATGTCAGAGGGTGGTATTGCATCCACAAGCTAAGGAAACTCCAGAATGACCAGAACCACCAGGAGCCGGGAAGAACCAAGGAAGTATTCTTCCCTGGAGCCTTCAGGTGGAGCATGGCCTTGCTAATGCTTTGATTTTGAACTTCTAATTTACAGGCCTCGAGAAAACAATTTTCTGTTGTTTAGAGCCCCCCAGTCTATGACAATTTGCTATGGCAGCCTTAGGAATACATAAAATCCTGCAGAATAAAAACTGTCTTCAACATTGCTCATTCATTTGTTTGTGTATCCATCCAGCTGTCATTTTTGTGTGCCTGTGTCTGTGGGCAGTGACCTAGACCTGGATAGCACGTGGATTCCAGGTGCAGTTTCTGTCCTGTGTGGAGCAGACACGGCTGGGCACGGGACCTCTGTGGTTGCAGCTCTTGGGGCTTGCAAGGGCCCTGTGCTTGGTTTAGAACTCTGCTGTTGCTGTCTTGAAAGTCTTAATAACTTTTTTGATCCTATAAAAGTTATTTATTCACTATTCATAGAACATATCCCCCATAAAATGTACATGTAAATCATTAAAAAATATAATTTGGTGAACATTTTCTCATTACAGAACATACTAAATCGGCTGGGATAACAGCTCTCTCTCTGCCTCAGAATAAGCTAATTATAGCACCCAGAGGCTCCTTTATCTCTGGTGCAAAGTTAAACACTTATTTGTGGGATTATTTCCTAATATGTATTTGATGAGGCAGAGTTAACAATTTAATATGACTAGTATATTACAGTAATGGCACAATAAATCAATTTATTATAGATTGAAACAAAAAATTTATTCATTATTTGTATTAATGGGGTACAAATACTGGATCCTTTTTTAAAAGGCAAATCGCCTCAAAATTACTTATCTTTGATAGTATATCAGGTTTTATGATTATGTGAGGCTGTGAATGGTGTAAAAGTCACAACAGTACACCTCAGATAAAACAATAAGGCCAAACATCATGACCCACTAGGTTGTAATCAGTAGACATTTATTGAATATGGGAACTATCTGTTTTTCTATCCAATTATCTCGTTCAGTGTTTTGTCCACTCTTCCAAGTGCAACAAATTAGTCACTGAACATACTGACTAGGAAAGTGGTGAGAAGAGATGCCCTGTCAGCCGGATGTCAAGTATGACTGGAATCTATGTAGGAGAAAGTGGTTAAAGGAGGCAACTATCTGGCATTTAAGCAAATATACTCAGATCTCACCAAAGCAAATGATTAAGCAGAAAACACTGGCACAAAGTAAACAAAGGAAAGGTTTGCCAATAATGGCAAAAATGGAATTTTAAGGAGAATCCAGAAAAAATTTATTTGGGCCACACCTTTTCCCACCTGATTCAGTTTGAGAGACCAAGAGGCACTCTAGGAGGCTGTGGCTGTCTTCCTTGATATTTTTTTTTAATTTTTAAAATTTTTTTTTTTTTTTTGACAGGCAGAGTGGACAGTGAGAGAGAGAGACAGAGAGAAAGGTCTTCCTTTGCCGTTGGTTCACCCTCCAATGGCCGCCGCGGCCGGCGCGCTGCGGCCGGCGCACCGCGCTGATCCGATGGCAGGAGCCAGGTACTTCTCCTGGTCTCCCATGTGGGTGCAGGGCCCAAGCACTTGGGCCATCCTCCACTGCACTCCCTGGCCACAGCAGAGAGCTGGCCTGGAAGAGGGGCAACCAGGACAGAATCCGGTGCCCCAACCGGGATTAGAACCCGGTGTGCTGGCGCCGCAAGGCAGAGGATTAGCCTAGTGAGCCGCAGCACCGGCTGTCTTCCTTGATATTAAGACATCCAAGTTACCAATCATTTATTATGGACCTGTAGCCATGAATCAGTATAAACCTGCTCATATTTAACGATTAGTTTCCACAAGTACAAAGTTGAACTTCCTCTTCTTTGTCTTAAAATGGGTACTTTCATCAGACTTGAAGGGACCTCAATTATTCCATGTGGTTTTGGTAATTTAATTCTTTTATCTTTTCAGCCCAGAGTCAAGACAGTCGTACAGTACTCAGAATGCAGCACATTCCACCCACCCGTTGGTGGTTCCAGCTGCTTTTCTTGGATTCTTTTTCCACTTTCAGATTTCTGGAACTGTAGCAGGGCATGGCTATACCGGGGATTCCAGCTGCAGTTTGATCTGTCATTGTTGGAATTGCTTCTGCCCCAGCGAGGTCTTGCAGTTGAGCTACTGTTTCTAGGACTTTAAGATCTGTAGTTGTAATTAAAAGACCATCTTCTTGATGGCCTTCTTTCATAACCTTGGCCTCTAGAATGTCTGTATCTGTCATGATCATCATTTTTTTTAATTTTTTAATTTTTTTTTACAGGCAAAGTGGACACAGAGAGAGAGACAGAGAGAAAGGTCTTCCTTTATCGTTGGTTAACCCTCCAATGGCCGCTGTGGCCAGCGTGCCACGGCCAGCGCACCGCGCTGATCCGAAGGCAGGAGCCAGGTGCTTCTCCTAGTCTCCCATGGGGTGCAGGGCCCAAGCACTTGGGCCATCTTCCACTGCACTCCCGGGCCACAGCAGAGAGCTGGCCTGGAAGAGGGGCAACCGGGACAGAATCCGGCACCCCAACCGGGACTGGAACCCTGGGAGCCGGCCCCGCAGGTGGAGGATTAGCCTAGTGAGCCGTGGCGCCGGCCCTGTCATGATCGTCATTTAACGTGAAGAACTGCACACCTTCCCCCCTCCCTTGGCTTTCATCTGATGTGGTAACTCCCAGTCCCCTCCTGTGTAAATTGTCCTTTAATCTGACATCCTCCAATCCATTTTTCTGTCATTACGTAGAGCTGCTTCAGCATCGCGAGCATCCTCGAACAGCATGAGCAAATCCTGGATGGCGAGTGCAGAGATCAAGTGGAACACACACATCAACTCTCTGACTGTAGCGACCAAACGTGAGCCACACATCTTCAGAGGTGGTGTTGTCCGCCACGTTCCTGACCACGAGAGGTGCTGGGCGCAGGGCTCAGGTTGTATGTGTGGGTTGGGGAACTCAGGCAGCAGGACCAGACAGAGGCGAGAGTGTCCGCCAGGGGCACTAAGGCGTTCGGCAAACCCTTTGTGGCCGAACCTCACAGCCGCAGCCACAGCACTCCGCCAACGGCGGCCTCTTACTAACTCATCAACAAGGGACCCCTTGTTTGTATTTCGCACTGGGTCCCATAGATGTGTAGTTGATCCTCACTAGGATAATTACAGAATCGCTGATGTTATAGAAGAGAGCCCGTAATTCAGGGAACCCACAAGCTGAGGGGATGCTGCATTTGGGCAGTGAGGTAGGATGGATTTCGGAAGGGAGGAGGTTGTTTAATAACAAGATCCATCTCCAGGACAGTGATTCTGGCAGAGGGAACGAGGTGGGCCTAAGCACAGGGGTCAGGGAGCCTGCAAGATGGGGCTACCAAGTGGACTTTGGTACTGCTGGAACCTACCGTACCACTAGGGGGCGCCCAGGGAGAGTTGACGCGTGCGTGTGGGTCAGATCCCGAGAGGGAAGGTACTGCCTGCCCCGCAGGAGATGAATCAGATCTCTCAACTCTGTTCCTTGAGGATTGCAGCAGAGTCGTTCTGTTCAGAGACTCAGGCCACACAGACCTGCCTATCAGGAAAGGATTCCGGGAACAGGATAAATCGATTTGCCTTTCCAGTGTCCACCTCTTTAAGTACCAATAAACTGTTCAAATAAAAAGACGCTTGGCATGTGTCAAGATTTGCTAGCCTGGAACAGGATGGTCCAAATGGCCTCTGTGCTAAACTTTGCTGGGCTTGACCTCTTAGAGGGGCCCAGATGAGTTGCCAGGGACATTAGTCGTGGTAGGCTGAATAATGGCTGCCCAAGGATGTCCATTTCTGGAACCTGCAAATAGATTGCCTTGGACAGAACAGGGACTTCATGGAAATGAGTCAGGATTTCGAGATGGGGAGATGATCCTGGATTATCCCTGTAGGCCCAGTGTAACCACAGGGTTCTTATAAGAAGGCAGCAGGGGGGTCAAAGTGAGTAGCAAGAGATTGGCAAGGCCTAAGGAACGGGCCACCAGCCAAGGAGTGCAGGTGGATCTGCACAGGGCAGGGAATGCGTGAGCCTCTGAAGGCTGCAGAAGGAACCCAGCCTCACCTCAGAATCATCTCGATTTCAGGCTTCTCATCTCCAGAACGGCAGGAGAACACATTCGTTTAGTTTAAGCTCCTCAGTTTGTGGGAATTTATTAACACAGTGATAGGAAAATAATACAGGCCTTTAGCAATTATTCAAAGTTATTTTTTAAAGTTCTATTTTCGTGTATGCTTATAATAAGCATGAGATAGTAATACAATTTATGTCTATACTCACTCAGTTTAAAAATAAGTGATTACATAGATTAGAGATCTTGTTGATATGAATGATAGATGTGTGCATGTTCAAAAATTTTTAGATTTCTGGTATAAAAATGGGAGCAACAGAAGTCCAGATGTAATATAACTTAATACTCAAATATTTGGCATTAATATATGTATATTAGTTACAAGGAATAGCAGTCTAGATGTGACTATGCAAGCACCAGTAATCACAAAAGAAAGAGAATATGACTCAAGCAGCTGGAAATGTTTTCCGTACTTTTGGTAGTTTCCTTAATACAGCTTATACAAGTAAAAATTCAGAAAAAGAAAATTCTGTATTATAGTCTATTCATTTGCCTAATATGCTGTAGGGCATATATGCTTGGACTAAGAATTCTATGTTGCTTTTCACATGTATCAACATAGGGCCACAGAAGACTATTTCCATGAAAAACTTACCTTAATGTTACTCAAGAATGCTGTAGCTATTTTGAAATATTTTTGATCCTAAACTCATTACATCAGAGATCATTAAGCAAGGTCAAGAATTAGTCTTTTTCTGGAATATATCCTGGCAAAATTTATTATTTTTTCATCAAAATGCATTATCTTGCTTTCTATTTTTTAGAATATATTTTTTAAATTATACAAGTTTCATATATTTCCTTTATACCATTTTAGGAACATAGTAGCACTTCCCCCTCTACCCTCCCTCCCACCCACACTCCAGCCCTTCCTCCCCCTCCCTCTCAGATTCTCACTCTTAATTTTTACAATGATCTGTTTTCAGTACACTTAATGATCGTATAGTTAACCCTACCCTAAGTAAAAGAGTTCAACAAATAGTATGAACAGAAAACAAAATAAAACACTGTTCCTTAACCAAAGAGACAAGGGCTACAAACAATCTTTGCTCCTCAAAATGTCTATTTCACTCCAATACATTATACTTCAGGTACTCTGTTACCTCCAGTCAGGGAAAACGTATGATGTCTGTCTTTTGGGGACTGGCTTATTTCGCTAAGTATAATGGCTTCCAGTTGGGACCCTCTTGCTGCAAAAGACAGGATTTTATTGTTTTACAGCTTAGTACTCCATAGTGTATATCTACCATAAAGTCTTTATCCAGTCATCAGTTGATGGGCATCTGGGTTGATTCCATATCAGCTGTTGTTATTGTGCTGCAATGAACATGGATGGGGGTACAGATAACTCTTTCATATACTGATTTCTTTCAGTTTCGGTAAATTCCCAGGAGTGGGATGGCTGAATCATATGGTAGGTCTATATTCTGATTTCTGAGGCACCTCCATACCGTCTTCCACCATGGTTGCACCAGTTTAGATTCCCACCAAAAGTGTGCCAGGGTGGAAAAATTTGTGAAAATAGTTATATGGACAGAAATTACTCCATAACTTTAAAATAGTGTTGGGCTGAAAAAAAAGTAGACAGTGCTAGGGTCCAGATAAGAAGTGAAAGTACTAAGAATAAGAACTGGGGTTGGTGCTATGGTGTAGTAGCTTAAGTCTTCACCTGTGGCACTGGCATCCCAAATGTGTGCATTCAAGTCCAGGCTGCTCTACTTTCCATCCAACTTCCTGCTCGTGGCCTGGGAAAGCAGCAGACAGCCCAAATGCTTGGCCCCTGTGCCCATGTGGGAGATCCAGAGGAACCTCCTGGCTCCTGGCTTCAGACCAGCTTCAGATCCGGCTGTTGTGGCCATTTGGGGAGTGAACCAGCAGATGGAAGACCTTTCTATCTCTTCTGTTTCTCAAATAAGTAAGTAAGTAAATAAATAAATCTTTAAAAAAAGAACAAGAACAAATACATTTAGAATGTTTAGTATAAGAAAGACATTGTGTGAGTACGCTGCCTGTGTTAACTTATTTAATCCTCATAATAACCCTGTATTGGAGGTGTGACCATTATCTTCATTTTAGTAGAGGAAATGAAGATCAAGTTAAAGGGCTTTCCCAAGATCACAGAACTGAAATGAGACCCAGCTGGAATTAGTCTGGCTCTGTAGCTTACACTCTTACTCACTGTACTATGTGCATAGCAAATTAACAAAGAAATGAATGGTGATACAAGCTACTGGTTGAATTTTAGATTGTATCTCAAATATGTTCAGTTTAGAGATTATCACTATTTGTGGTCTTACATTCAGTAAACTCACACACACACACACACGCATATGCATGCACACACACATGTTTATCTGATAAACAAATACAGATAAATAAGCTATCATCTGTGTTCCTGTGGACACATGGGATAATTATTCAGGATTCTTATCCTTCAAACTAGTCCTTTTATAACTTGTCTTGATTCTAAATTGTCTCCACATGTACCAATAAAATTAATGTCATATAATATTTCTTAATGATCAGAGATTTGAGCTTAGTTTTCATTTCTTTCAGCATGAGTTGTCATTTGCATTTAAAGCACAATGGTGGATTCCCATGGGAACATTTTCTCTATATGGATTTATTTAAAAACTGGCCTTGGGAATGAAAAGAAGTGGGTAGGTAACTTCTATAACTTATTTTTTTTTTTTACATTGGTTTCTTGGATTCAGAGAGAAGCCTCCAAGAGTCATAACAGGCCAGGAGAATGAAAGTCAGAGCCACATGGAATATTGTCCTCATTTTTGCATGCAAGTTTCAGGGAAAATATATAAAGAGCTTAGAGTGGCATCTTAGGAAATAAATTCCTCACCATGGTTACACTGACTGTTTTATGGAAATGACCACAAACGCCAAGTGTAATGAGAGTAAACCTTCTTTCTTTCTTTTTTTTTTTTTTTAAGATTTAATTTAGTTATTTATTTGAAAGGCAGATTTAGAGAAGCTGAGGTAGAGAGAGAGAGAGAGGTCTTCCATCCGCTGGTTCACTCTCCAGATGGCTGCAATGGCCGGGGATGCGCTGATCTGAAGCCAGGAGCCAGGAGCTTCTTCCAGGTCTCCCATGGAGGTGCAGGGGCCCAAGGACTTGGGCCATCTTCTACTGCTTTCCCAGGCCATAGCAGAGAGCTAGATCAGAAGTGGAGCAGACGGTACTACAACTGGTGCCCATTTGGAATGCCTGCACTACAGGCGGCAGCTGTACCTGCTACGCCACAGTGCCACGGCCCCCAGAGCAAACTTTCTAACATGCTTGTTTGTTCCATTCACTTTCCTGCTGAGTATCTTTCAGTGACTGCTCACCATCAGTAGAATGAATTCCTCGACGTTGTGTTCAGGGCTTTTTGTGCTATGGGCCTTGTCTGGCTCTCTTACCTGATACCTGGTCCCTCTCCAGGGCAGCTTGTACTTCAGCTGTAGGAAATGACCTCAGCACCTTGTCTAGCCCTTTCCTGCCTCACATCATGCATCTGCTGCTTCATGTATCCCGAGAGCTCATGCAACCTTGTTTTCACCACACTTGAAAACCTGGCTGCAATGCTAGCTCCTCCTCTCAGATGTCTTCCCTGGCTATTCTGCCTACCCCCTGACTCAACCTCTGCTCAAGTGAAGTTCAGATCTTGCTCATTTATGGGTCCATGATACAGCTTGTCCACCCCCTTATAGCATTTACCCCACTACAATTACTTGGTTTTTAAAAGATATTTATTAATTTGAAAGGCAGGGGGAGAGAGAGAGAGATCTTCCATCCACTCGTTCACTTTACAAATGATTGATACAGCTGGGCCTGGGCCAAACAGAAGCCAGGAACTCCACCTGGGCCTCTCATGTGGGTGGCAAGGGCCTAAGTACTTGAGCCATCTTCTGCTGCTTTCCCAGGCACATTAGCAGGGAGCTGGGTCAGAAATGGAGCAGCGAGGACTCGAACCAGTGCTCCGATATGGGTTGCTGGTGTTACAGGTGGTGACTTAAACTGCTGTACCACAATGCTGTCCCCTGCACTACAATTATTTGATTATAGGTCTGTCAACACTAAATATGATAAAAGGATGCCAGTCAGTTAAAACATACAAATGGCTTTGTCACTATCAGTGCACAACTTATTCTAATGTATTTCTCCCTCAGATTATCTTAATTACATTAGTTTCAGTTCTGCGTTTTAAAAAGACTTAGTTATTTATTTGAAAGGCAGAGTTATAGAGAAGGAGAGACACAGGGAAGTATCTTCTATCTGCTGCTTAACTCCCCCAAATGGCTGCAATAGCCAGGACTGGACCAGGCCAAAGCCAGGAGCCAGGAGCTTCATCTGGGTCTTCCACATGGGTGTAGGGGCCCAAACACTTGGGCCATCTTCTGCTGCTTTCCCAGGCATGTTAGCAGGGGACTTGAATTGCAAGTGGAGCAGCAGGAATTTGAACCAGTGCTCATATGGGATGCTGGCATGGCAGGTGGTGGCTTAACCTGCTGCACCAAAATACCAGCCCCTAATTCTACATGACACACCTCTTGTTCAAACAAATCCAATGTACAACAATCTGTTGTTACACAAAAGATGTAAGTACACTGTTAATTTTCTTTATAATAAAACAAGCTCCTCTAATGAATTTCAAATTGGACTTTACTGAAACATGAGAATTCTTACCCTTAAACATTTTTTAAGATTTTTTTATTTATTTGCTTGAAAAGCAGGGAGGGGTGAGAGAGAGAGAGAGAGAGAGGGAGGGAGGGAGAGAATCTGTCATCTGCTGGTTGACTCCCCAAATGCCCACAGCAGCCAGGGTTGGGCCAAGCTGAAGCCAGGAGGTAGGAGCTCTTTCTGAGGTCCCCCATGTGGGTGGTAAGAACTCCAGTTTTTAGTCCATCATCTGCTACCCCCCATGTACACTAGCAAGAAGCTGGATTATAAGTAGAGGTGGACTCAGTCCCTGGTACTATGATATGGTATGTTAGATCCCAAGTGCTGGCTTAATTAACTGTGCGACAATGCCTACCCCTACTTTAAAAATTTGTAAAGTATGCATGATAAGTATAGAGCAATGAAGCACTGAAGTGTACTCAAACCTCGGTCTAAGGTGTAGACAGAAGGTAACTGTAAATCTCTTCTATCACCCAGGAGTATGGTACTGATACTAGTTGCTCTAGCCTTCAGTGACATGAATATTGAAATGTGGTGTTCATACTCCCAAGTGAAAAGGAGCTAAGAAGAATGGGTGGAATGGCAGATTCGGATTGTCCTCATCTCCCTAGGGCAGAGGATCCAGCGGGAAAGAAGTCTTGGCCTCGTAGGGGTTCAGTGTGTTTCCTCTTACAGGGAGAACTGCTTCAGCTGTGCTCATGTGCTTAATAGATCTCACAGGTGTAGGCCACCCAAGTCAGCGTTTTATAGAGCAGTAATTCTCAAGAACATGCTCTCATTTCAGCTACTCAGTGAGATTTCATAATAAAGCTAAAGCAGGGATAAGTGACAGAATGTGCAGAGAGCCATGTCTACTTTTACCATCAGCTCTGTTTTGTCTGTGATGTCTCATAATTAAAAAAAAAAATCAGGGATCATGTTGGTGGATCATAATGTAAAGCTTGAGCAGTCATTTATATTTACTTATTTATTTTTTATTTTTTTATTTTTTTGACAGGCAGAGTGGACAGTGAGAGAGAGAGAGAGAGAGAAAGGTCTTCCTTTGCCGTTGGTTCACCCTCCAATGGCCGCCGCGGCCGGCGCGCTGCGGCCGGCGCACCGCGCTGATCCGATGGCAGGAGCCAGGAGCCAGGTGCTTTTCCTGGTCTCCCATGGGGTGCAGGGCCCAAGCACCTGGGCCATCCTCCACTGCACTCCCTGGCCACAGCAGAGGGCTGGCCTGGAAGAGGGGCAACCGGGACAGAATCCGGCGCCCCGACCGGGACTAGAACCCGGTGTGCCGGCGCCGCTAGGCGGAGGATTAGCCTAGTGAGCCGCGGCGCCGGCCTTTGAGCAGTCATTTATAAATGTTTTATGTTCATTGGCAATTTATTACTTGACTTCCTACCCTTCCCTAGGTTAATGATCCTTTCCATTCATCGGTTAACACAGGGTTTCCTATTTACACCTGCCAGAGCACAGTTTATGCTGACCCTCACACTGCTGGCGTGGGAATCATTTGGAGCTCATGCTGAAGGTGCAAATTTCTGGTCGCTACTCCAACCCACTGTATCAGAAGCCTTGGTGGGGAAAGTACCCTCGCCAACACAGCAGTTTCACCAAATGGGCTCTTATTTTTCCTCCTACATAGCAAGAGGTCCAGAGTTAGATAAGCTAAGGTGGTAGGACAGCTTCATGGCATCCTCTGGCTTTCTCGTGTATCTTCTCCTCTGTTCTCCAAATGATCAGAAATTAGAGCGCAGACTACCTGGACTGAGCAGATGGACTAGGAGGAGGCATGAGAGAATTCCTGGGGTGATGAACTGTTGTTTTTGTTAGGGGTGTGGGCAGCTCAGGTGATCAGCCGTCATGAAGTCTCACCGAACTGCTGTCGTGATGCAGTGCGTTCTGCTGTATGTAAATCATACCTTAAAACACCCTGAGCCCCGATGGCCTAATGATTCTCTGCCTTCTCCGTCAGTTGAGGGGTGTGGTGGAAATCTGTTCAGTCACTGGGGCCATTACCAAGGAAAAGCTTGCAGTAATTCCAAACATCATACAAGAATGGCTAAAAACAGTTGAAATGACAGTTTTGCTATCAGGTGAATCTTGTGAAATGCATGTTGTCTGCCACTGTCGAAGGCTGTGTCATAAGGCTAGTACCTTATGTAAAAGGGGTTTCATTTAAAATTATGAGTCACATTTGATAAGACTTTCTGTGAGGGTCTTCATTTCTCCATTCATAATCATAGTATATGAATTTTCTCTCTGTATACTCAAGGAAATCCATCATTGCTTTATGTCTGTGGCTAGGATATGTGTCTGACACACATGTTTGGCAGATACCCATTATCCATTTGGCACAGGTGGCTGCAATCAAATATCTGAGCCACATCACTGTATGCCCTTGTTTTCTTGAGTATTTACTTCAAATTTACAAATGCCAAAATTTTCATTCCGATGTTGGGTATCCACCAAACTATCTGATGTTCACTGATTATGGATTGGAATGAACTCTTTCTTCATTGTGTAAACCTGTAATTAGCTTCCACTATTGGCTGGCGCCTCTTCTGTGATACTATTCTACTCAGGTACCATATATTGGATATTCAATGCTCAGACCTTCTCATTCCTGGATATGATGCTCTTCTTCTTCTTCTTTGTTTTTTTTAAGATTTATTTATTTGAAAGGCAGAGTTACAGAGAGAGAGAGAGAAGTCTTCCATCGACTGGTTCACTCCCCAAATGGCTGCAACAGCCAGAGCTGGGCCATCTGAAACCAGGAGCCAGGAGCTTCTTCCAGGTCTCCCATATGGGTGCAGGGGCCCAAGCACTTGGGCTATGTTCCACTGCTTTCTCAGGCCATCGCAGAGAGCTGGATCAGAAGTGGAGCAGCCGGGACTTGAACTGGTGCCCATATGGGATACCTGCACTGCAGGCGGTAGCTTTACCCACTACACCACAGCGCCAGCCCCATGATGCTCTTCTAATCAGATTCCACCTTGT